GTTTCAGGGTGGGGATCATGACCGTTTACAAGTTTTAAAAAAAAGGGGTTGGGGTTTACCCTAGGGGACTTCCCCTTAATTTCATTTGATTTGTTTTATTGTCCCATTCAAGAATATATATGGTTTAGGGGTGGGGATCTCGACCGTTAACAAGTTATCAAGAAGAAGGGGGTGGGGGTTACCCGCATGGACTTCCCCTATATTTCATTTGATTTTTTTTACTGTTCCATACAAGAATATATATGGTTTAAGGGTGGGGATCTCGACCGTTTACAAGTTCTCAAACAGGATGGGGTGGGGGTGACACCAGGGGACTCGCCTTTTACTTCATTTGATTTGTTTTATTGTCCCATACAAGAATATTTATGGTTTCGGGGTGGGGATCTTGACCGTTTCAAAGTTTTCAAACAGGAAGGCGGGTGGGGGTGGCCCCCATGGACTTCCCCTATATTTCATTTGATTTGTGTTATTGTCCCATACAAGAAAAAAATATGGTTTAGGGATGGGGATCTCGACCGTTTACAAGTTCTCAAACAGGAAGGGGTGGGGGTGACCCCAGGGGACTCGCCTTTTATTTCATTTGAATAGTTTTATTGTCCCATACAAGAATATATATGGTTTCAGGGTGGGGATCTTGACCGTTAACAAGTTTTCAAAAAGAAGGGGGGCAGGGGGTGAACCCGGGGACTCCCCCAATATTTCATTTGATTTTTTTTTATTGTCCCATACAAGAATATATATGGTTTAGGGGTGGGGATCTCGACTGTTTACAAGATAAAAGCACATTCTCAAATTGAAGGGAAGTGGGGGTAAGAATATATATGGTTTAGGGAGACTTAATTATCTACAAAATGTCTAATAATGAACAGTAAATTTCAAACTTCATTTATACAGTCCTACAGATCTTATCAGGAAACAGAAAATTTTCAAATAAATCTGTCACTCCAATGATTATCATATGCTAAGATATAACCCAGATCTAATTAATAATTAATAATGTAATTAACAGCAAATTTTGTCTAATAATATAGCTTATAATCATCACCGCTTAGGAAATAGAAAATTTTCAAATAAATCTGTCACTCCAATTTTTATTGTGAGATAAGACATTATGCTGAGTCATAAAATGATAACAAGAAAAAAATATTTTAAAATACCACTTTTGGATATTATAAATGGCGATAACTCAAAAAGGAGAAGTACTAAAATCATGAAAATTGAACTAGACCTTCATTAAGTCACAAGAAACAACATATCTAAATTTGAAAACAAATCATCACAGCATTTTCATGTTATTGTACAGACACTGTTTGGCAGCCGCCCGTCCGCCCGCCCAGCCGCCCGCCGTACATCACCATTTTAACAAGCATTCTGAGAGTATTGCATGGCAATACATAGTCCCCTACCGGTTAAAAAATTAATTGTACTGGAACAAAATGCTATCTTGATCTATAACTTGTCCAAGGACCATAACTCTGCACAAAATCATCAAACCGAAACAAAATTCAAACTTGGTCTGTAACTTGTCATGATAAAACTATATACCAATTATCAAATCAATATCTTCAAGCATGATGAAAAAAGTGCGGAAAACTGATTATTTGAGTGAATTTTCTAAGTCCAAGGACCATACCTCTGCACAAAATCATCAGACCGGAACAAAATTCGAATTTGATCTGTAACTTGTCATGATAAAACAATGTACCAATTATTAAATCAATATCTTCAAAGTAGTATCCATTCTATGTACAATGTAAGTAATAGGGAGATAAAAGCATTTTATTTAGATTTGAACCAAACATTTTTTGTCCATTAGCCAAATTTAAAAAAAAGCACAAATTTACCAAACAATGCTACTCGTGCTACTAGCAATATGATGCTAGGTTGTTTTGTCACACTTTATTTTTAAACATCTGTACTGCCTAATGACGACTCAGTCCTGGGTGTAAATGGTCGTTCAGAATGTTAAAAAAAAAGACCAAAATTCATAAGGCCTATCTGGCCTAATTGATTTCTAAAACTATATTTCATTGTACATGTTCAACATTTATCATTCATTTGTTTATTTCTTAATTTGTGTGAATTAACAGTAAATGTTAATTACTACACTTTCATACCACAACAAAACTGCCTTACTGTATTGGTATCACTTATATTTGTATCCATATAACAAAAAAAAATTGAAAAGAGAATATTTTTGCAATACCTTTTTCATATTGAATACTATAACTTTTTAGATATTTAGACATATTTTAAAAGTAGATGTTCATATCCACTTGAAATTTTATCAGATGACTCATAACTGCTACAGAAGTCATCTGATAAAATTTCAAGTGGATACTAATAGTAAGCAAATGCATGTTCTCAGATACCATCTCCCATATAAAAAAATCACATCATGAAAAAATGAACCTATTATGTGTTCCTCTCCTAGCTACAAAATGTATCCAAAATCAAAGATGTGGAACATATTCTATCATAATCATTTGGTAATTAATGCAATTAGTGTCTCTTCCATGCCGGTTTTGAACATAAAAAACTAAATATTAAATAAACAACACTCCTAATGTTCAGGTTGGTTGTCATTGTGCAACACAGTTAATATTATAGAACCCTATGGGAAAAACATAGAACTCCTTTTGTCATATAAAACACTGTCAAACATCCAAACATACTATCCACACTTGTTATAAATAGAAAGAAATGTGGGGTTGGTCATACATTAGGATACGGAGATTTACTTGAGAGACATACTCATATCGAAAGCTAAGAAAGAACAACGATTTTTAAGGTCTTTCCACTCCGTTAGGAAAGACCTTATTGTTTTTCTAATGTTTTTTCTTTTTTTTTCTTTTTTTTCTTCCAACATTTTTTTGACATACCCTCCTTCCGTTTCTGTTAAAGATATCAAGACCAAATATGAACCATCGATAGACCTCATCATGAAGTATTACCAGATGGCATTGTTAAGGATTTCATCATCCCCTTCAGATATTATCTCCCTTTCATTGTTTTTTTTCGACATGGCCCCCTCTCGTTGTTTTTAAAGATATCATGACCTTATTTAGAAAAGAGGTAGATTTCATCATGATGTATTACCATATGAGGCTGCGTAAGATTTCATCATCCCTTTGAGAGTTATGTCCCCTTGAAGCAATTTCTTTTATTTGCATTTTTCTTAAAAAGTATAAGAGATAGAATCGATTTGAAAATGGCAGCATGTACAAGAACAGATGGCAATGTTGATACAGATAAACAATTATTTTGATATCAACCCTTATAAGGAGTTATTTCCCTTGAAAAATTGTATTTCGAGAACCGGAAGTCGTAGAGACTTGGGACCTTCACCAATAATCTTTAATTCATGTGACCTTTCATTTGCATCCAAGGTCAAAGGTTACTGAGTGCAAAAAAAATTTACGCTGCAATTTCATGCTGACATATTAAGAAAACGATAAGAGTTTGCTGCATACATACTGTGTATAAAATGTTCCTCTCGACAAGCTCTACATTTTATACATTAAGCTCAAAAATGTTCAGAAGTTGCATCAAGATAATTCTTAAAAGTATAGTATTGTGTGAATATCTTTTAAATGGTAACAGATATCAACCTACTATAAACTGCAAAAATTATCAGTAGTTCAAGACCTTCAATTTGAGGTCAATGTCAGGTCATGATGAAATTTTACCTTGACCTTCAAAGTGTACTATGACCTTGACCGTGTGACATTTGAAAGGTCAATTGGTCCTGAGTTGAATGGTGGTAGTCCCATGTCTCTACGACTTCCGGTTCTCAAGTTTGGTATTGCATCATATATTTGATGATTCATTGTGACCTTGATGAATTTTGGAATTGTCCCAATTTAATTTTAAATGTTGTCCTTTTACTGCAGATCATTTATCACTTAACAGATTTGAGATATCTGTTGTCGTTTAAGAGATAATGCTGTTTAAAATTTTGCGAGCGGAAGCATGTATTTCTAAATCAACAACAGTTTACCACCTGAAATTTTCAGAAATTAAAGAGTTCAACATGGTTATATGTTTGACCAAACACCAAAAACATTCAATGAAAAAAAACTCAAAAAAAACAATTTGAAATTTTCATGTTTTGCATTTACTTTGTAAGTTTCATAAGACTTAGTTCTATTTATATAATTGATATTGCATAATTTTTGGCACTTTGCCAAATGGGGTCATTTGATATATCAAATTGAAGGTCTTAATGAGCTCTACTCAAAAATGAAAATTCTAAACCCCTTTTTCATCCCAGGAGGAAGGGTGGGGTCATTTAGTGCAAAAAATTCAAACTTCTCAGATGATTAGGTTGTCGGGTTATTAGGAGCAAAAATCAAACTTTCTAGAACATGGCGTTGTTGCATATCAAATGAAAGATCATCAAGTCTACATTACATATAATATCATACTTCCGATCTCGAAAATTAGGGCGGATGGGGTCATTAAGTGTAAAAAGCGAAAAGTTTCAGAAGGTATGCTTGTCGTATATCAAATGAAAGGTCGTACAAAGTATATTACGAAAACATCACTTTAATAGGAAAGACCTTTCAATTGTTTTACAAACAATTGAGATACTAGTTTTATCTTGCATTTTTCATAACAACCGATCATTGTACTAACTGCACTAGTTATTTTTAGAATTATTACTTGTCAATGACTCAAAGTTACACATATGATTTTAGACACTTAGAAAGATATAGAAAGGTTTAGTCAAACTGTTTAAGAAATAATTTTAATAAAATTGTATTTCCAAGCGAGTATTGTAGGTAAATTTAAAATAAACAAGATGCTACAACGACGTGGCTACAACAGTCCTGTATATATTTGTTTGTTGTTATTGAACCCGTGTAGGTGCCCAAACATTGAAATACATAAATAATATTAAATAGAATAATTGTAATAATGTCAGAATCACATTTAAAAAAAATTAAAACCAACGATTTCGTGTTTTTGTACACAATATTATGACGGTAACTACTCACCATTGTTGTGCTATTGACTTCCGTGTATGTCTACTATATTTTAGTAGGTCACGTAATTTTTAAAAAATCATTAAAGTCTACAGGTGGTAAAAAGTGAGCGAGACAAACATTTATGAAAGAAAGATTAATATGATACATTTTGTTATTTCTTCGTATTAATAAGTGATTTAATATAATGTAAAGGTTATTTATTTATTAATTACAAATAAGATCGAAATCGAAAGGGAAGCCGGGGGGGGGGGGGGGGGGGGGTTTAATAGCAAAAAAGATGAGGGGACCTCAGTTCCGTTCTAATTCAACCACTACTGATTCAACGTAAAGAAATTGTGCGTAGGAGTAGTGTATGAGGGCCTGGATGGGGTTTTTTTATTTCTGTATTCTTTAATTTTTTAGGCCATTTTTCTCTATTCTTTATACTTTTCCCCCCTTATTCTCCATTCTGTATATTTCAGCACCTCATTATTCTTTATTCATTATTTTTTTGGCCCATTTTTCTCTATTCTTTATATTTTTTGCCCATTATTCTCTTTTCTGTAAACCCCCATCAACACCCTTGTGTATGCTACAGGTTTAACTTAATTCTACCTGTTGCGTAATAGAAAAAGATTGTCATTCTATTTTACAAACTGAGTAAAGAGCACTCACGACAGATAGAAAACAAGATTAGAAAATTATTTACGGAAAAAATTCAAAAATTGCTTTAGTCCATATTACAGAACACTGTTTGAAAATCAGCTGAACGTTTTAATCACGTACTACTATTAAAAAGAAATCAAGCTTCTCAAAGAAGAACCACTGTGACAACAGATGGCGACACACGTAGTTTTATGATACATGTAACAAAAGCTAAAGATTTTGTGTTTTAATGTTATGATTAATTTCGTACACGATTGCCTCCTTCCACCTCCAAATGGTCTGTAATGCATGAGAACGGAAGAGATTAGTAATTAACCGAATGGTAAATATAAAGCTGTTAATTTATACTATTTACGTGTATTATTGAAGCAAATGAAATATTTTATTTTGACGCAAATGAAATATGGATTATGGCGCAAATGATTTTTTTTTTTTGCGAAAATCAAATGTCATTTGGCGCAAATTGCAAAATACCGTACAAATACACACGACTTACAGGTGTAAACCTCGTTCTCGGAGATTCTTTTCGCTACAATTTCTTAACTTACAAAAATGTGATCTTCCCTTTTTCTGTACTTGAAGTCTTAACTTTTTTTGTTCAATATGACAAATCTTTCTGCAATAGTTTTCAAACAGTTTTCATAGTCTGAACGCTGAGGAATCTGATCATGAGGTGTTTTGTTCTTTTCGTCGTTTAATACTTATCCTCAAATTTTCCCAAAAACTTCAAAACACCGTCTTATATTTACTGATCCTCTCCTCCAAAACTATAAAATATTGTCTTAGATATACTTATCCTCAAATTTCCAAAAAAATTAAAACACTGTAATATGTATACTGTCCCAAGTCAGGAGCCTGTTTGCCGTTTAATTATTACTGTTTATCTGATTTGTTTTTCATTTATTGTTTTGTGTTATATACTTGATTTGTAAATGGTTGTTGGAAACGAAGTTCAGTACATATCATACCGGAATCACAGGGGTGCTCCGGGATGATGTTTGTAAACAGTATAATCATCTATATCCTCTGTATCATATTTCATTAGCATGCCTTCTCTCTCTCTCTTTCCCACCGCATGTTAAGGTAGTCACACACAAATATATTTAGAGCAGTAAAATTGAACTTTAGAAACGATTTCGTCCTTTTTAGTCCCCAAAGGACGTTGAATTGTCATAAATCAGACGTTTGGTTTTCTCGTTTGAATTGTTTGACATTTTTCATTTCTGGGCCTAAATAGCTTATTATGCGGTATGGGTTTTGCTCATTGTTGAAGGACGTACGTAGACCTATATTTGTTACATTCTACGTCATGTAGTCTCTGGTAGATAGTTGTCTCATTGGCAGTCATACCACATCTTTTAATTTTTTAATGATCTTCAAATTTCCCCCATAAACTATAAAACATCGTCGTTTGGGGTTTCGAAAATGAATAAAATCTTTCCTTTATTCATAGATAGATACCCAATGAAAATGCACCGTAAATAAACTGCTCATGTCAAATTTCCCCGTTGGGGAAAATGAGGATATTTCCTCATGTTTAAATTTGGCTCTCGTGGTCTTTTATACTGAGCCGTCATTTTTTTTTTCTATTAAATTTCCCACGTTGTTAACTTTATCAGGATCAATAATTTAGCAGAAAATCCTGTTACTTCAAAACGCACAAAAATTTTCTTTTTGGCAATGACTAAATCAAAGAAGAAAAACGTTAACGGACAGGACGGAAAGTTTGTAAGTGTGCTTAGAATAAGACCGCCTTAAGGGTATTCTTAAACGATTTTAAGAGAACGAAAAGGGCGAGGAAAGAATGGTTCTGGTTACACTCTGAAAAGATTCTTAGCGCACTCTTTGTGCTATCGTGAACTATGACTTACTAGAACTTTCTTGTTACTGGCCCAGGGGCGGATCTAGAATTTTAATTAATTTCACAAAACGGAATAAATACTTTCGAGCAGATGGAAGCTTAATTATTTGGACACTTTTATGCTAAAATATTATATATTAATTTTTTCAATAAAAAAATATGAACAAAAATACCGAACTCAAAGGCAAATTTAAAAGGGGGAGTCCATATATATAAAACCTGACAAAATCAAACATTAGACTACATCAACCAGCGGAACGAATAGAAAACAACTGTCTTGTTCCTGACTTAGTGCAGGCATTTTCCGAAGAAACCGGGTTTAATAGCTAGCTTAACCTTCCACTTGCATGACTAGTGGTGGATCTAGGTGGGGAGGGGGGGGGGGGGGGGGGTCCGGGGGTTGGAACCCCCATTTTTATTTGACAACTAATGCTTTTGTATGGGGACATATGGTTGGAACCCTCCCCCTTTTTAATTACTTCACTGTAAATAAAAGTGTTTAGAATCTGAACACTTTTTGAACGCCCTTTTGTAACACTTCTGGAACACGTAACAGTGTTCTAAATATTAACATTGGTGTTCCAATTTTTAGTGTCTACACCTTGAACGCCTAGTGTTTGATTCTGGAACATTTCCTTGTGAGCAAAATTGTACGCCGTACGCGATCCAAGCCTTGTAACACTTCTGGAACGCTCGGACTGTGTTCCAGAAATATGTGTTAATATCATGAACGCATAGTGTGTACTACTTGAACACTTTTTTACATGTTCTAGATAAATATAATTTGCTTATGTGGATACAGCTAAACTATATTTATCGTCAAATTATGATATGAACCATCCTTATTCATCGTCTTTTTTACCCTAAAGCTATGAAATATTATTTCACTCCCCATTACAGTATTAGAACACTAACGTGTTCAATTTCAGAACACTGTTCTTAAAAATGTGCGTTTAAAAAGACTGAACACAATGTGTAATACTTTTTAATGCCGGCGTTTAATGTGGAACACGAGAGTTAATAACCCAACACATTGTGTTTAAAATTGGAACGCGTCCCAACGCGTCAGGCGTCCGCAAAATTTACAGGGTTGCATGTGTTTGAACTACCCCTTTGAAAATGGCTGGATCCGCGCCTGATGACAGTTGTTTATAGTTTCATTGTATTGACAAAATTGGGTGAGCAACCCAAACAGACAAAATTAGTTAAAATGACAGTAATTGGGATCCAGCCCCCTTTGAATCTGCCACTGTACGTTATTATTCAATTTAAGTCAATACTTTGTTGTCATATAAATCAACTTGTAAGATTTGCAATAAAATAAACCTATAATTTCGTATACATACAAAAATCCCAGCAGAAGTGTAATTTTTAATTATACATCAGTAGTATCAGACGTCTGTATAGAAAATAATACTCTTCTAAGTTGAGACTGAATCGTCGAATTTTAGATATGATCCCTATGGCCATGTTATTACGGGGGACTTCGATATCGTTCCAGATCGAGAGGTTAAACACATCTTTCATCGTATTGTAAAAAATTGTGTAAACGGGGAAAATCTGATAAAAAATCTTTTGATTCTTATTTAAATAAACGTATAAATGTTGTGGATGTTCGAATATAGCACTTTGAAAATAATTTAGAAATAAATAAAAGAGTACATAATGCGCCTATTTCTAGAATAAGAAAGAAACTTCAAGTACTCGGAAAGCGGTTTGTGGAGTGTAATTTCTTTGGATGTTTTAGATAAATTACGTGATTTTGAGGGTCCTTTTGATTCTGTTGACAGTTTTGACTTTTCGACTCTTTACACTACACTTCCACACAATCTTTTTGTTAGATTCGTTACCATATAATTGTTATATTTCCTATTTTGTAAATTGGAAATTTCAAAAAAAATATATTTTGAAATTTTCAATTTACAAAATAGGAAATGTAACCGGCCTAATTTCAAAGTTTGCGTCAAGCTCTGGTACTTCAAAGCTTGAACACTTGTTGTTTAAAGCTACAAGGACCCCACCTCTAGTTTTATTGTGTTCTTTCTATCCTTGTGGTAGATGTTTTAATCTAGTGGGAATATTTGGTTGTTTGTAATTTATGATTCAAACCAAGTTTCTGTCATAATCAATACATCTGGCTTTGAACTAACTATAAGGTTTTGGACTGTTTTTTTTCTTATGGACAGCCAGTTAACATTTAGCATCCTAAAGTGGTATAGTGAGAGGTTTATCTAGCTATTTTCTACATAAGGAAATGCTTCTGCCAAGTCAGGAATATGACAGATGTTTTCCATTCGTTTAATGTGTTTGATTGAGCTTTTGATTTTGCCATTATATAAGGTACTTTCCGTTCTGAATTTTCCTTTGAGTTCGGTATTTTTGTTATTTCGCCTTTTAAATGGTTTATTTCTGTTTTCTCTTGTTTTTCTAGCTTTGAACTTTGTGTATGATTTGGTTTTACATTTTTTTGTTTGGATGCTATACTGCTGTTAAGTGAACCGACTAGTAGTGAGCTAAAACGTTTAGTA